ATGAAAGCTCATCGAAGGAATTCATTTGTTTAGTCAATTACCAAAATTTGGATGATTTTGAATATTCACTTGAAAAGTTATCAAAGAAAAACATTTTTCATTTTGTAACTTCGAGGGCCCGTAACTTGGTTACGAAGACTTTTAGGAATAAAAGTTATATGAAGTACTGGTGATATTTTGACCCCATCTATACATTCCCGAGAGGAAAAGAGGAAGTCCAGGGACACCCTGTATAATAGATATCATTTCAACGACCGCAAAACTATCAGGCTGGCAATTTACATAACATCATCGTTATTTCACATTTTTCAGTTCAATTGAACTTTCAGAGGTTCTGGGTATTTCCGACATAATAATATATAATTCATATCGTCAATTATGAAACAAAAATATTGAAGCAGTTTCAACCTTAAAAACTCGTTATATATGCCAACATATTTATTTGTAGCGGCAACAAAAAAAAAGTGAATTGAAAAATATAAAATTGATGATTTCGTTTCAGATATTTCGTCAATTCTGAGATATTCGGTTAGTCCCTGGTCATGTTCAGTCCAGAAGAGTCGTGCAGAAGCTTGCGATTGCTATTGGCAATCAATAATTTCATTCTGATGAATAGACAGTGCATTTCTCTAAGGCCACCCCTTTCATTTTTTGAACGGGTCAACTCATAAAATTGAAATTTGGGATAGTGAAATTAATGCATGAATACTTTATTTTGAAGTGAAATTGACAGATGAAACTTTCGCAAAGTCAGTATACTACTCCTTGATAGAGTCACATTTGCGATATGGTATCCCATTCTGGGGAGTGTGGAGTGGAAATGTTCTTCAAAGTATTTTTGTTTTACAAAAAAGAGCCCTGAGATACCTCTGTAAATTAAAATTTCGCGATTCGTGTAGAGTTCACTTCAAGCAACATAACCTTCTCACGGTAGTGTGAATATTTATACTTGAAACAGTGTGTTTCATTTATGAACATAAACAAAATTTCATTGCAGATAGTAGATATGCCACCCGCCAAAGTGACCATATCAAACTACCTTTACCATATTCCACTCTAGTTAAGGACTCCATTATATATAACGGCTGAAAGATGTACAACCACCTTCCAAATTAGCTTCCAAAAAAGCTGTAAAAAGAGTTCTTTCCAATAGAACCTATTATAGTTTGGAAGAATATTATGCGGATATAATAGACTAATAATAAATATACCAAAACTTTACATTTTGACGTTATATTTTAAATTTTATATGAGTGACTCATTGCTTTTTAACAATTACATTTTATAAAGTAGTGACTACGTATACTATGTATACTAAGTAAATAATTAAATGTTATTCATATAATTCAATTCAATTTATTTTATTTATTTCTGACCGTGATATTATAAGCTTATATCGTCATAGTTACGCTATCAATAAAGAGGGTCATAACTCCCTTGGGACATTATAGATTTTATAATTCCCTCTACCTTTCACAAGTAAAAATAAATAGAAATGAAAACTGAACCATATTTTATTTATTCACGTCATTACAAATAATAAATGTACAATTTTGAAATGTTCCCTGAAAATTACTTCCGCCACTTGAAACAATTTCTTCTTTTGTATGGCTGGAGCTTCTGTTCTTGATAACATCTTTAGGAGATAAAACAGCAGACTTTTTCGGCTTATAACTCTTACTCTTCCGTTTCAAAAAAGCCTGTAGTTCATTGAACTTGGTGATATCTCGTTTCTCATGTATAGTCACCATCGATTTTAGCATTGACCATTTAGTCCATAAAGAATTCGGACTATACGTTTCTGACTGAAACGAATAAACACAATTACTACCAAATCTACCGGAAAACATAGAAAATTCCTTACCAGTTCTTGAAAATATGCCAGAAATACAGTTTCAGTGACATCTTTTGGCATAACATTTTTCCGTGTCAGCCAGTCCAGATATATCTTGTATTCTTTTTGGTAGACAGCTTCACTTTTCGATGGAATTAATGATTCTCTTGCTTGTTCAGCTTTTTTCAAAATATCCTCCATTATATTTGGGGTAGAAAACACGTTTTCACTGCAAACACAGCTTGATAACAAAGTTCTGTTTATAAACAAGTACCATAGCAACAACCTAGCAACAAGAAAACTCTACTATAATCAACGGTACCTGATTCAAATATACCGGGAAGGTAATGAATTGGTACATTTTTCCGTTTCAAAAATGAACAAAATTTTATTGAAATCGGTCAGAAATAAAATTATCTATGTACCACGGGAATTAATGAGCCTTAATAACCTCAGGCAATTGCTGTCCCTCGGGCCAGAGACCCTCGGGACGCAAACTTTGCCATCGGTAATTAAGGCCCTCCTAATTCCCTTGATACATAAATAACTATTATACAGGCTTTGTCAACAAGATGTTATTCTTTGATAATAAAGCATATTTTGATTGATTGATTGAAGATGGCGACTGGGTGCCATCTGGAAAAAAAATTGAATGGAAGGGAAGGTCTTGTGACACATCATTTTGAAGTTCCTAACGAGTACTTCACAAACGTAGAATATGAAGTCAATATCTTCACCTACTACAAAATGGCGAAACATGCAATAATTTCCTGAAGACAAACATATTAATGTCGATATTTCAGAAACATTTGTTTTTATCTGCCATATGGCAATTCCAACAACCCGATAAGGTTTGTTTAATTATTTTTTATTTATAAAAACGACAAAAAATGTCAGTACGACAATGAACATCATTGTTCAGATAGAATATTCTTATTTAGTTTTTGGTTTCACTAGTAGAAAGGTACCACATCAACAATTCCTAAAATGGTCAACTATCGTCCATTGGTAGTCAAATTTGAAGCGATTTTTATTTACGGTGCGACGCGTAACTTTCATGAGACCGAAAGGATTTTCAATGAACGTTTTTCGAATAGGCCTATCTGTAGAAAATACTTGAGGTAGTGTACATAACAAAAAGTCCCCAGGTCATCCGTCCATTCCGGAAGAACAGCAAGTGCAAATTATTGGTGAGATTGTAGTAAATCCTGAACAGTCTACTTATTCCGTCGCTAATGTTTGTGAGGTGTCTCCTTCTACTGTGTGTAGACTATTGAAGAGGAATAGGTATCATCCATACAGAATTCTGCGAAATCATGACGGAAACCATTGCATGGCATCCTACCTATCTCTAAAATATTTGTTTTAGTGACGAATGTACATTTTTTCAAACGACAATGTTCACAAACAAAATTGCCGTTATTGATGTGACACCAACCCTCACGTTTTCCGGGAAACACATACCCAATATCCAGGAATATTGGGAAATCACATTGTAAGACCTCTACTTATTGATCAAAATTTACCAGGGGATCTGTATTTGAATATGCTGGAAACTACTGTTGACCCTCTCATCACTGAAACTATTTGGATACTACTTTTCTCGGTCGTTAAATTGGCCGTCGATATCCTACAGAATGGCCAGCTCGCTCGCCATATTTGACACCTTTAGAATTTTTTTATGGGGCTATTTGAAGCAAAAGGTATAAGAAACTGAACCTTTTTCCATATTGGGTATACGGCAGAGAATAATAAATATTTGTAGAGATATTGACGTTACTGTGTTCGAAAATTTTCGGCGTGAAATATCGGATAGGCTGTTCATATGTCAAAAAGTTTAAGGCAACCATTTTGAGCATCTTCTGAACTGACCTCAAGCTTATTACCTGATAATATGTAGTTAAATGTCAATATATTCAGGTAATTATTGAAAGTTCCACCATTTGACATTATATTCTAGGGTTGTGAAGCATTTGTCAGGAGCTTTAAAAAAAGTATCGAAATACCCTCCTTTCCAGTCAATTTTTTCCCAGATGGCGCCCAGTCGCCATCAGGAAAGTTTCATTTGTCAATTTCACTTCAAAAAAAAGTATACATGCATTAATTCCATTATCCCAAATTTAAATTTTTTGAATTGACCCGTTCAAAAAATAAAAAGGGGGGACATTAAAGAAATGAACTGTATAGGCGCAGTTTATGAATGAAAATACTGGTTACAGTAAATATGCCATGTGTTCTGAACTGCAACCTACAAGGGGAGTTTTGAGAGAGTTTGGTTCTGTATTATTTGAAACCTCGAGACTTTAGCTTCTTTCATTCGAAAAACTGAACAATAAGTCATCTGTCAATAATGATATTGAATATGGAAATCTCATGGGTCTGAGAATCGATCCTTGCGGTACTTCAACTCCAATTTCGAGTTTTACCAAATTACTGTTTCAGTTTGCTG